AACAAACATCAACGTTTTGTCAGACAGACGTGTGGAAGTTTAAACAGAAGCTGAACTTCAGACTCGCTGTGGTGCGACGAGCCCAGCAGTGACACCAGTGCTGGGCTGAATGTTTGCAGAGCTCACAGGACACAGAAGCATTTTCATTTATCAATAATACATGAAAGGCTGACATGAAACGAAATATCAAATTAATATCTAAGAATGGAGTAAATATATTCATTTGTGTTGATTTCAGCTTGGATTTAAACATCATGTCTGTTATTGTCTTCCAGTATTTAGCCATGTCCTTCTTCTGCGTCCGTCCTGTCTACCTCCTCCTGTCGTAGTCTCTGTCTCTCTCCCTTCGCCTGTCATCTCTGTCTCGATCTGTGTCTCTTCTTCTTTCTCTTTCCGTCTCTCGTCTTCTGTCATTCTCCCTCTCGTGACCTCTCTTCCTTTCTTCCTCTCTCTGCCGATCTGCGTCTCTCCTCCTCCTCTCCTCCTCTTCCTCCCCTCTCAGTCTCTCGTTGTGTCTCGCTGTCTGTCCATTCGGTTGTCCTCCTGGCTTTGGCGGCGGCCCTCTCTGGTTGTATTTGTCGTACCCGGTGTCCTCTTTCTCCTCTTTGACTCTGACTGAAACAAGAGGTGGTGATGAAGAAGAGGCTCTGCTCTTCCTGTCCTTCTTCTTCTCCTTCTTCTTTTTCTTCTTCTCTTTCTTGTCTGAAACACAGAGCGCAGAATGAAATAAATAAAAATCCACCTCGTCTTGTGTCAGGCGGGTGTCACATGACAGGATGTGACCTCACCTTTCTTGGGCTTCTTCACAGGTACGGCGTACTGCTCGTCATCCTCGGAGGAGGGGGAAGACTCGCCGACTTTGGGAGCGCAGCCCTCCTCCCTCAGATGCTTGGTCACGTCGTCGATGTCCTCGCCGTCTTTGGGGGGTCGGTAGTCTTTGACGTGGTCAACGCGAATCGTCCGACCTTTGATCTGACAGCACAAAGCAACAGAGATCAACTCTCAGTGACCGCGTCACAAACAGCTGATAGTTCACATTAACTTCAGACTCACACTTGACAACAACATTAACAAACAGTCTCTGAGCCCGGCTCAGATTAGCCTT